TCACAAAGAGGAGGGGGTTTGTTGAGTGGGGGGGGGGGGGGGTTTGCACAGTATGGTGGAAACCTGTCGGAGCGAGGGGAATAAGGTGAGTATTACAGCTTATTCCTCTTCCACCTAGATATGAGAGTTTAATCCTTGCTTTGCTTCGAGGGCATTTCATTTTTTTCCTGCTGCCTGGAATGAGGATTTTTTTTAAAAGCTGTTTTCGGCGTGGACCGCTGCCCCCTCTGCCTGCTCTTCTTTGACATGGGTGGATTAAGAGGTGGGGAAGGATGGAAAGAGTGGGGTTAGCAGATAGTCGGGCTCGGAGCTTCAGGGTCTCACTCCTCACGCGTCCATGGCTTGGCCACGCCCCCGGAATGAGGATAACCTTCCTGGTGGTAATCCCGAGCGTGGCTCGGGGGTTAATTTTCCATACCAAAAGTGGTAACCCCGAGCCACACTTGGGCGTCTTCCGTGTTTCTTCCCTGCAAGCGCCGGCATTGGGGGCGGAACCGGCGAGAAATTCAAAAGTAAAAAATAGAAAAATAAATACTGAAATAATCATACCGCCAGGGAGGTTAAGTGAACCTTCCCTGAGAGTTCTGGTGGCTTTCATTACTGACTTCTAAAGTGCTAGTTACCTGGCTGATAAGATAATCCCCTGGCTCTGAGTCGCTCACAATACATCCTCATTATGCTGTACGTAGCCTATGCAGAAAGCAGGGCTGTGGAAAGGGCCCAACAGGCCCCACCCACTACATACGTGGGCGTAGAGTGACCGGTCTTTCAGGGAGGGGCGGAGACTTGACAGGCACCCTGCACAAGGATTGAAAGCAGCAGGGAATGGTCTTTATTACAGAAGGGGCGGAAACAAGACAAGTCACCCTGCACAAGAAAAGCGAGCAGCAGTGACTGGTCTTTATTACAGGAGGGGGTGGAGACAAGACCAGTCACCCTGCACAAGAAGAGAAAGCAGCAGTGACCAGTCTTTATTACAGGAGGGGGTGGAGACAAGACCAGTCACCCTGCACAAGGAGAGAGCAGCAGTGAGCGGTCTTAATTACAGGAGGGGGCGGAGACAAGACCAGTCCCCCTGCACATGGAGAGAGCAGCAGTGACCGGTCTTTATTACAGGAGGGGGCGGAGACAAGACCAGTAACCCTGCACAAGGAGAGCGAGCAGCAGTGAGCGGTCTTTATTACAGGAGGGGGTGGAGACAAGATCAGTCACCCTGCACAAGGAGAGAGCAGCAGTGAGCGGTCTTTATTACAGGAAGCTCCAAGTCTCGCACTGGATTTCTGCACAGATCTGGAACGCAAAGCTCACCAAGATTCTAGACGAATACACAAGTCTTGTAAGAGGACAATATCTGCTGATCCCGGAGCTTTAGCATTAAAAGCATTTTGAGATGCTGCAGTTTTCTTAGTGGAAGATCAGAACATCTGTTCCTTATACTTTTCTGGACACGATCCAACATCAGCTCAGCGCGGGGTTTATTGTGAGTTTATATTCACTTGTCACATCATTGGAGGGAGATCGCTCCGCTCCAAATACAGCGACACTCAGCACATTCCTTTTAGTTAGTTCAGCCAAAAATATCGGGATTTGTGGTCTCTGGAGATTTGAACCTCTTAATGGTTTCTTTTCATCTCCCAGACTTTATTAGTATTATCTCGGGACCAGGTTTATGATGTAGGGGGGCACCATCTTCCTGGTTGGATTTTTAGGTTTATGTTTTTTGTTTTTTTTAGTAAACGGGTCTTTTTTTAATTTTATTTGGGAACATAATATTTTTATTTCATTATATATTATTAATAATATTTATTACATAATCTCTCGGTATCAGTCTGCAGAAGATAGAACAAAATAGGGAGTGACTTGGCCAACCAGACACCACATACAGCTGATCTGTGTCTCAGTGTGTCTAATCCCAAGAAGAAAATGTAATGTATTGAAATGCGGCGGATACATTTGTTTTATCCTTTTTATTCCATTTCAAAAACCGTTTTTTGTTTTGTATTTACCTGGTAAAAAAAAAGAAAATCTAAAAAGGCGGCATGGCCCAACCCAAGTGTACAAATCGATAAATCAGGGTAGGCACAGGGCACCATCAACAACTAAAGCTGGCCATACACCTTACAACCATCGCACGACTTCCTGCGATGGTTGTAAGGTAATTAAAATATCGGGCGATCTTCCCATCTTGGACAGGCAGATCGTACTTGCGATCATCGCAAGCCCGCCCCGCTGAAGGGAGGGCTTGCGATGATTCCAATGCTGAGCGGGCAGTGTGCGAACACGCCACTAACCCGCCCAAAAATCTTACGATTTTTCGAGCGTGCTCGGAAGACAAAGGACGTGCGACCGTACAGTAGAAACAGTCGCACGCCTCCCATACACCTGCCGATTATCGATCGTACGATAATTGGCAGGTGTATGGGCACCTTAAGAATTAGACAATGCTGTGACAACTATGGAAGGTCACAAATACATTTGAGGTTGCAAAGAAGTGGCGTGTGTCTCTCCAATGTGGTAATGTATCTTTAGGGGCTTTCGAGCATGAGGAATAGAATATCTGCTAATGAACAAGACTTGGGTAGGCAGGGGGTCCTCTGCTCCAAAACTGGGAGGGAGCACATAGACTAGAGCAGGGGCGGGCAACCTCAGCACTCCAGTTGTGGAGGGACCACAAAGTCCTCCATGCCTGTGGCTGTCAGTCTAGCAATGACTCATGGGATTTGTGGTTTCGACACAGCTGGAGTGCCGAGGTTGCCCGCCCCTGGACTAGAGCAAAACACAGAGAGAAGCAAGGAGGAATAGTTGAGGAGGACGGGAGGCTGCAGTCCACGTCATAGACTTTGGAACCAGCTACCCCGGATTAGATCTACAGTGCGATGAGTGAGGAGTCGTCCATGGAAGTGAGTTGGTACGTGACCCATGGAGACCAAGCTTTTCAGGGGTGTCATTTAAAATACTAGAACACTTTTTTTGTTGATCATGAAGAGTCTTAACCTCATGAATAGGAATAGATTGTGCTTTCCAACTGGAGCCATAGTCCGGTTTTACTGCGGAGAGGTTGAATGTCCCCAGTTTCCACTGGCCATGTAGGAGAGCAATCCATGGGCTGCCCTATACCCAGTTTTAAAGTCCAACTGAAGCATGTTATTTCATAGTTTTGGATGGAGTGGAGAGGGATTAGAAGCTTTTTATTGCTGTCTTTGTCCCGGTGAATGTTCTTCCTATAGGAACACTAGTTCTGGTGACCCCGTTGACCAGCAGGTATTTCCCTCACATTGTAGGGATTTCCTCTCACTTCCTGTTGTGAATCTCAGACAGGAAGTGAAGGGAAATCTCCCCACAGATGTAAAAAAAAACAAAAAAACATCTGACCGGTTATAAACCTTCCTTACTCTATTTAAAACAAAGGTTTTGGCTTCAGTTCTACTTTAAAGGAGAACTATGAGGGGGGTGCTTTTCACTCACCTCATAGTTCTAGCCGACCTGTGACAATGAGACTGTCACAGGTCGGCTCAGTAGATCGGGAGGTGAGCGAACACATACCGGCGCTCGCTCACCTCTCGATCCTGTCACGGCTCTCTGCCGTGACAGGGGAGGGGCTGGATTCCCCCCTCCCTGCTCCGATCCTCCAGCACTGACTGGGAGGGGGCGGGTACAGCTGGCTCTGCCTCTAGATAGGCAGAGCCAGCTGTCACTCACGCGGCTGGGCGGATCTCGACATCGATGTCGGGATCTGCGGCGTCTCGGTATACGGCGAGCTGTAGCTCACGGTATACTGAGCCTAGGGTAACGGGAGGATGCTAGTTTGTGTCCTCCCGTTACCCTAAGGAGAACTATGGGGAAAAGCCCTGACCCCATAGTTCTCCTTTTAAGAATGAGAAAGCCAAAATGGTAGTAGCAAAGGGGCACGTCCCTCAGATTTGCTTCACAAACACACTGCAAATCGATAGTTTTCATATGTTACAATTTTGCACACTTGGCAAATTAAAAGGTGAAATTAGTATTATGAGATAGTTTTGCCTGTAGCAACTGTGGAGGGATGGGGGGCTGTATTACTTTAGCTGCCTTGGAGGTGGCCATTCCTGAACACCATGAACAACCAGCAAGCTTGCTCCTCGGCAGGTTTAATAGATCATTCTTGCTGGTTAAACTTTGACCTGTAACTTGCTTCCTGAAGGTAATATAATATTTTATTGCGGGTTTGTTTTGCACTGAAGCAGTCACACATTTCTTGTCAAGTCTTCTCATTGAGCTCTTCATTGTAAAAGTAAGGTCACCCAGAGCAAGCGTTCCGGAGTTGGCATTTTACAATTCCTGCAATACATAAATGTGTGCAGTTGCTATCGGAAACTGATATTTACCTAATTCTTATATATAAGTTCCTCTGCACACAAGAGCCGCACTTCAAGCAGCCGAATAGCGAAATGCAGAATTAAAATGCTTCTCAGTTCCTTTTTTGTTTCCTGACAAATTCTATTTGTAATAACATATTGGACTGTCTGTATCACCATGCTGGCAATGCCCCCTATACCCCTTCCAGCTCCTGGTGCTGACCTTTCCCCTCTCCCTGAGTTTCGGCATGTGGTGAAGTGAGAGGTGGATATAAAGGGGTTTTTATATAAATATGATGTATTCAGCTGGATTGCATCAAGAAACTCATCCGATCTGGAATGTCATCGGTCACATTACAGTCCCGGTCACATTACATCGGTCACATTACGGTCCCGGTCACATTACGGTCCCGGTCACATTACGGTCCCGGTCACATTACATCGGTCACATTACGGTCCCGGTCACATTACATCGGTCACATTACGGTCCCGGTCACATTACGGTCCCGCTCTGATTGCTGCCCTTTCCTCCTCCTAGTTTATTCTGTTATGTCCTTGTATTGCGTTGCTGTTTTTGCTCCTCTTTGCGCCGGATGATCTGTCATTGTTACCAGTCTAATACATTTTTCCCTTCTTTGTAGATTTCCATCGATGTGAGAAGTCTTTAAGCAGTAAAGGACAAGATCCCTACCCATGCCAGTGGTATTTCCGTGTATACAAGTCCATGTGCCCCAACTCTTGGGTAAGTCCCGGGATTTTCTCCCAGACACTTTTATCTGTGGATCTGATGCAGGCTTTCAATGCACGGGTCATTTGGCTGCCGTGGAACTACAGATCCCAGCGTGTCAAATGGCTCAGTAGAGCATGGATATTGCGGTAGGATTGCAAATCCAACGTATCGGAAATTGCCTTGTCCAAAATGGCCTTTTATGTCTAGTTACACGGATTACTTTTACTGCAAACTCAATTTTTTTTTTATAAGCATTTTTGCATGCGTTGTCTGTGTGCTTTTCATTGACTGTTTTGTTATGTTTATTAGATATAGTTTGCGGGACTCCAGTTGTATTGAAACTACAAATGCCATCATGCCTTTAGGAGTCATGTCTGTGGCTGTCAGTCTTGCAATGCCTCTTGGGACTTCTAGTTCCACCACAGCTGGAGTGCCGAGGTTGCTCACCCTTGCTGTAGGGAATTAAAACCTACATTCCCCATGGGAAGGCACTGATGTGCTATAGAGGTGGTGGGATAGTGCTGTACTATGCAGAGGTCAATCATTGGCTGTGGGCGGGTACTGAACGGGGTCCTGTACTTTTCTACCTTTCCAAATTATGCCCGTCACCACTCTGTACCCCACAGAGGAGGAAATGTGACCCGACCCGTTCCTCCTTAGTGAGGAAATAATGGCACTTGGTTTTTACAAAGTGGAAACGGCCCGAATAAGGCCCCGAAAGGCACAAGTTTAGGGGCTCCGAATAATGGTCCTGTTAGTTTTCCCCGCACTTCCTGTTCTTGTTAGGGATGCACCGAAATTTCGGCCGCCGACACATATCAGCCAAAAATGGCACTTTTGGCAAAATGCGGACAGTGCCATGCATCCATGGTTTCTCTCCTCCCCGCTGGGCGATGCTCTGTGTTCCCTCTTGACACTGCGTAGCATCCAGCGGGGAGGAGAGAAACGTTCAGGGGGGGGAGCGCTGTGAGCGTGCCGCAGCAGGCCGAGCTCTCCTGCACCGCCTCGCTGTGACAGATCAGGATGGAGAGTGGTGTGGAGGGTGGAGACAGCTGTCGCAGAAGGCCGGCAGTGCGGTGGAGGAGTCGGCTGTCACAGGAGCCTGGCGCTGCCGGGGGGAGGAGTCAGCTGGTACAGGAGACTGAGCACTCCTCCCCGCACCGCTTGCTCAGCCTCCTGTGACAGCGAGTCCGGTACAAGCACAGTGATCGTAGTGATCGCTGAGTGCTTGTAAATCACATTTTTTATTTTTTATTTTTTATTTTTTTCGGTTTCAAAATGTAATTTTTGGCGCACCTCCTATTCTTGTGTCAGATGGACAGGAAGTTGGCAGAAATCTCCATACTTTAGTCAGAACTGAAGAAAAAGTGTTTGCATCATGTAGTTGGAGTCGGGCTTCCTGTAGTATTATTATTATTTAGTATTTCTGTGCATTTGAAGAAGTAATGTTTTAGATTGTAAGCTCTCAGGGGCGGGGCCCTCTTTACCGTCTTGCATTGTATCGTTACTGTAATGTCTTCCTCGTATCGTAAAGCGCTGCGCAAACTGTTGGCACTACACGAGTATAATAATAATGTTGCCGTTCCTGATCTGATGCTGTGTATCTGCTGCAGGTGGAGAAGTGGGACGACCAGAGAGAAGCGGGCACATTCCCGTGCAAAATCTGAAGGGGTCTACGTTGACCTTGTGAACTCGATTCCTGTAATCTTGGTCGGCACGCACGCAGGACCCGATGCTTCAGTCGGGTTCGTCCATTTAAATTTGCTTCTGTTGTAAATCGATGGAGAGCATCCAGTACATATTATTTCTCTGTCAATAAAAGATCCGAAAACTATTCCCACCGACTTCCCTGTCATTGTTGTGCTGAAGTTCAAGTGTAAAGGTAAGGGGCCCAATCGGACCTTGCTGTCCTGGTGTGTTGCGTTAAGACGCAGCCCATTCATATGCACGGGGTGACAACACTCCAGAATGTCCAAAAAAAAGGGACATGCACCATTTTTGGCAGCGCATCACAGTACAATGCAGTGCATTACCCCCACAGCAGGGCTAAGGCCTCATTCACACTAGACGTAGTGCGTTCCGGCCCGATTCTGGACAGAACGCACCATCGCATTGCGGCCGGCTCACTTTTATGTGTGGCAGGAGGGGGCGTGGCGGTCCATTGAAGTGAATGGCACCGTAGTGTGATTGGCCGCATCGGGATCGCAAGGCACATTTATGCCTGCGGTCCGGTCCGAACAAAACAGTGCTTGCAGCATTTTGTTCGGACCGGACTGCAGGCATAAATGTGCCTTGCGGCCGGAGGGCGTGGCTATGGTGCCATTCACTTCAATGGACCACCATGCCCCCTCCTGCCCCACAACATAGTGAGCCAGCTGCAATGCGATGCAGTGCGTTTTGCCCAGAATCGGACCGGAACGTACTGGGTCCAGTGTGAACGAGGCTTAAAGGTAGAAAAGAAAAAACACCTGCCCGGTGCCCGGGACTGCATGTCCTTGGCGTTGGGTCATATAAATTGCGCACCCCTGGTTACAGTGTGCTGCAACACATGTGCGTTGGCTCTACCTTGGTGCATTGGGGTGTCATTAAATATGCATGGCACCACAGCACACCTAAGCTCATAACATGCGTTAATTTGCATTGCGGTACTGCGTGCAATTATGTGTAATCGGCAGGCTGGGCTCACAGCAAATGGATGAAAGGACGTGTGTCACTCTGCCTAAAGAAGACTGCCGGCACTGGACCGTAGAGGAAGTCGGGGACATTGCCAGAGTGCGCAGAGGGTTGGTAGCATGCTGCAGAGGAGGACCCTTATTCTCTGTGTAGAAGCAGTGGTCTCTCTGCAGAGGTCCGTCGCACCCCCTTTCTGAAGCCAGAGCTATTCAATCAGCAAGGATCACGGGCTTTATTGATTGCAGATGAGAGACCTGTCAATGGATTGATTACGCTGGTCACAACCACAGTACACGGCAAAGGATCATTTGCTATTAAATATTTATTGGAAAACGTCAGATGCGGACATACACGGCACATAAATAACGCAGACTGCCCATGTGCGCGCAACAAGTATATTTATATTCACAGTGCATCGATATTAGAATGGAACTCCCCCCCCCCTCTCTGGGCCCCCCCCCCATCAGTTACATCCGATCTGAGCTGTCATTTATCTTCTTGTTGTCACCTTTCTCTTTCCTCCAGTGATTGGAAATCTCTCCCGGTCTATCCATCCATCATACAAAGCTTCGCGGGTGTGAACGCTGCTGCCACCTAGTGGGGAAACTGCTAACTGCTACACGTATGTATTCAGGTTTGGCAAGACGGCACATGTACCCGTAGGCTCAGAGAAGTCAGTCTGAAAAGCATCGAGCAGATTTATTGAACTCTTCTAAATGTCCCTCAACTGCACACGGATCTCATCTCCAGGCAAATGTAAAAGTTTATGGTGCAGCAGCTCATACCTCGCGTAGCACAAATCCACCTCTTGTTCTTTTGCACCTTGCTCCAGTAATGTGATCATCCCTGTAATGGACCCTTTGGGGGGCAACTTCCTGTAAAGGAGACCGGTCTCAGCCAGGTGCCTGTGTGCTGGGTGACTGGTCCCATCAATGCCCTACCCGGCCAGTGCAGATGTCCCCACATGAGCACTGCCTGAGATAGGAGGGGGGCACTTGGTTCATACTTGGCCTCTAATCACCCTGCCCTATGCCAGGGGTAGGTGAACTAGGTCCCTCCAGCTGTAGTGCAACTACAAATCCCATGAGCCATTGCAGGACTTAGCCACAGGCATGACTCTCAGAGGTAGAGGCATGATGGCACTTGTAGTCTCACCACAGCTGGAGGGTCAGAGTTTGCCTACGCCGCCCTATGTTCTTGCCCCAGTTGTGTCCCAGCTCCTACTTGGTTGCTGAGATTGCACTAGAGCAGAAGGGTTCACATGCTGTTTTTTTCTAGTTCATCCTCAGTCAAGGGCTGGAGGTGGCATGGGGTGAAGCCCTTTAAGGTTGGGAGCCCAGATGGTGTCCCCATTCATATGGCAGCCGCCACTGAGCAGCCTGGATGGCAAGTTTGTTGCCGGGGGCAGGATAAGTGGTCGGTGCCCCAGGGGTGGTGTGTGATTGATTGATTAGTGGGAGACTGTCATAAGTAGGCGGGGAAACCAATAGGCAGGATCTGGGCAGCATTCCCACTGATCTATCGAAAGCTCCAACTCGTCGAAATCTCCAACTACCTCACGGCCGGGTACTTGCAAGTTGGAGATTCCGAGCAGGCGGCGCGAGACTGCAAAACAAAGACTGACGGAGCTTCTGTGCGGCTGCATCTGAACAATATTCAGCAGCTGGCCAACTCGACGGGTATTCCGAACATGCGCATGCGCACCGCAACTGTACAGAGCTCCAGTCTTTCCAAACACCGGCAGTGAGGTAGTTGGAGATCTCGATAAGTTGGAGCTTTCCATAGAACACTGCCATTCATTCTTATTTTTGGGAATACGTGACGGAATGAGCCCGGAAGTGCTACCTCCTGTTCCAAGTAAGCATTCCTGCGTCAACCACAGACGATTGCAAACACAGGTCTGGGAGACGAGACCGATTAACTGTTTCACTGCCACAGAGGTAAGTGCGCCCGTGACAGCAGGAAGCTGCAATCGCACTTCCGGGCTGCCGTCACTTCTAAACTTCCACCCATTTTTTTGTGTGACATAAAAAAATAACAGCTGCCCCTATTTTATTCTCCGGGTTCTCTGGTTTCAGAAAAGAGATCACTTTGGGGGGGGGTTTGGGCCTAGAATGCGCATTTTAACACATGCAATAAATGCAAAAACCAGCTCTGGCACGGAAAGGGTTAAGGGGGAACTCCACTTCTGTAAATGAATATGACGTATAAACTTTAATATTAAAAATGACCTTTCCATGTCGTCCTGCAGCCGTTGTAATCTGCTGAAACTGTTCAAAAATATAGGGGTTCTCTGCAGAATTTTCATTTTGGGTCAGATGCACGCTAAGGGTTAACTGCCTCTGGAGGGATGCAGGTGCTGCAGCTTTCCTCATTAGAACACGGGTGAGTGCACCAGGTGGTCATAACGAGCTCAGACCCTCCCATTCAGGAATCAGTCTGGGAAGGACACGGTGGGGCGAGCAGCAACAGAACAAGGTAGGAATGTGCCACAAAGTTTGTTAAAATCCTTGACATGTCCATTGGTCACCCAGAGAGGGGGGGGGGGGTTGTTTTATTCTCAGCAAAAGTGGAGTTGCACTGTAAGGCAGAATGGGGACCTAGGCATGGTAATAGCTTTGGTTCTCCTATTCCCTCACAGAATAATGATCTGCAAGAGCCAAAGAAGCTGCAACACGTGCATTGTCTGTGCTGGCACGGCTCCTTTAGACGCCAACTGCAAGGGACAGACGGGGACAAAGCTTTTACCAATGGCGTTAACCCTTTGGTAGCCAAACTGCGGCCCTCCAGCTGAGGTGAAACTACAAATCCCATGATGCATCTGTCTCCGGGAGTCATGTCTGTGGCTGTGAGAATCTTGCAATGCCTCATGGGATTTGTAGTTCCACTGCAGCTGGAGGGCCAGAGTTGGCTTACCCCTGCCTTGGTTTAATGCAGGAGCATGAATGATGTAGCTGGGGCCCCTGGATAGCCACTGGGCCCTAGGTTGTAGCGTAGTGGATGATCTGGCTTTGGCTTCAGAAAAGATAACCCCTCATAGTGACATGTTTCATGGGCTGCAGTGACCAGTGCAAATGTCTAATGTTCAGTAAATGTATAATTACACTTTGGCCCTCCAGCTGTGGTGAGACTACAACTCCCATGAGGCATTGCAAGAAACTGACAGCCACACGCATGACCCCCAGAGGCAGAGGAATGATGGGATTTGAGGTTGCCCACCCCTGCTTTATTATAATGCAAGCAATACAGGGCTAAGGGCCACTTGGCATGTAATAAATGCTAAGTAGATACCTGCTGACCATAATACTGTACACAAAGACTTCACAACATGCCCCTGTTTACTTTGGGGACTGCATGGGTTGCTCAGTCATTCAGATGTAGGGGCGGCATGTATAGGAGCTTACAAGTAAGGCTGTTAAAGGAGAACTATGAGGCGAGTGCTTTTCCCTCACCTCATAGATCTAGCCGACCTGTGACAATGACAGAGAGCCGTGACAGGGGAGGGCTGGATTTCCCGCTCTGATCCTCCAGCGCTGACTGGCGGAACGGACGGGGGAGGGGGCGGGTACAGCTGGCTCTGCCTCTAGATAGGCAGAGCCAGCTGTCACTCACGCAGCTGGGCGGATCCAGACATAATTGTCGGGATCCGCTTCAGCTGCGGCGTCTCAGTATACCGCGAGCTGTAGCTCCCTATATACTGAGCCTAGGGGGACGGGAGGATGCTAGTTTGTGTCCTCCCGTTACCCTAAGGAGAACTATGGGGAAAAGCCTTAACCCCAAAGTTCTCCTTTAAAGAACAAAAATGTAAATAATCTTATCAGTGAGCGCTTTTATCTATAGCTTGTGATTATATATGTACATATTGTATGTTTATTACATATGCAGGCTGTGCTACCTGCTTAGTAGTGCTTCACAGTGTCTTGCTGGTCATCCGGTCTTTACACTAAGGGCTCGTTCACACGGGAATCGGCCGGCACGTACAGCTCCGCGCTGCGTGCACGGCTGTATCGGGCAGCACAGGTGCTGCATGTGATTAGTACGCAACCCCCGTCCTCTATGGGACTACGCGGCCGTACGCCCCCTATGCTAACCCACCCTGCATGTCCGTATGGGTGCGGGTGAGCGTACTCGTACCCTGACAGGATGGATCCTGTCTGCGTCT